ACTGAGAAAAATGGAGGAAAAGTTGAATGGAATTCAGGATCTAGACCAGAATGTGGAAGACCGAAGTGACAATCTCCAAACACATTTTACTGAAGCATGTTGTAATCTAGATCACCTTTCTGAGAAACTCGAAAATGCTAAGCCGGAAGAAGAGCTTGAAGCCAATGGTTTGCCAGTTCTAGAGGAGAACTCTCTATTTGAAGTCAAGAAGGAATCTGAAGGACGAGAAATTGAACTGGATCACTGTGATGGGTCTGAGAAATTGCAGAATGCAAATGCAGATGAGGAGCTTCATGTTTCAGATTCAGCACAGAAGCAAGATAAAATAACAAGAGTCAAATTCAAAGACCAAGAAGAAGAAATGGAGCATGGGGATGTTTCTGAAGAAGCCACGGATGCCAAAACTGATGTGGGAGACAGTATGAAAGAACATAATCTACCTAACACAGGTCGAGATAGAGATCAATCAGAAGATGCTAGTAATTTACAGGCAAGTAATGATCCCAGTAGTCTTTCAGAGAAGCAAGCTTCACCTGTGACTGAAGATAATTCTCCAAGCAATAAACTCGCTAGTCTTTCTGAGAAAGAAACTTCATTCAAAGGACATGACAACTCTAGCGATGGTAGAGATCAAGGCAAAGATGCTAGTCCATCACATGCATGTTGCAATGGGCCAGATAGTCTTTCAGAAAAAGAAATTTCATCTCAGGAAGCAGGTAATCTTCTGGGTAACAAACCAGATAATCTTCTGGGTAACAAACCAGATAATCTTGCAGAGGAAGAGACTTCGACTCAGAATCTGGATGACCCTCTGATTGACCGACCAGATGATGTTTTAGAGAAAGAAGATTTAACTCGAAAGCCGGAAAATCTCCCAAGCAATGATTCTCAGGGGCAGGAGTTGGAGAAAGAAGATGAACCGGACTGGAAGAAGTTGTTCATGAATGGTTCAGATGAGAGACAAAAGCTTCTACTTACAGAATATACTACAGTTCTTCGGAACTATAAGGATGTCAAGAAGAGGTTCAGCGAAGAGGAAACGAAATTGAAGGACTCCAACGCCAAGAAAGATGAGGAGATTAACGTGCTACGTAAGAAATTGAGCCTTCTTCTGCAAAAAGGGTTGGCAGACAATAATGATGTGAAAGAAATCAAAGTTTCAGAAAACCAGAATGAGCTATCAAAATCAATAACTAGGAGAAAAGATGCAGAAATAGACCTGGGGATGATGCTAATGGATCACCAAACTCAAACAATTTCACCAATCGAAGAACAATTTCGAATGAACATCGATGAACTGCTAGAGGAGAATCTGGATTTCTGGTTAAGATTCAGCACTTCATTTCACCAGATACAGAAATTTGACACTGGAGTCCAAGATTTACAGGCTGAGATATCGAAGCTCGAGGAAAGAAGGAAGACAGATGGAAGCAGCACTGCAAGATATGCTCTCAGATCAGACGTACGTCCAATATACAGACATCTCAGAGAAATCCACACGGAGCTCACAGTCTGGCTGGAGAAAAGTGCTTTGCTGAAAGATGAACTTAAGTCCAGATTCTCATCTCTCTGCAACATACAAGACGAAATAACAAAGGCACTGAAAACAAGCGCCGAAGATTATGACTTTACTTTCACAAGCTTCCAGGCTGCAAAGTTTCAAGGAGAGATTCTGAACATGAAACAAGAGAACAACAAGGTTGCAGATGAATTGCAAGCAGGTTTAGATCATATAACATCACTTCAGCTTGAAGTAGAGAAGATATTGGCGAAGTTGACAGAGGATTTCGGGCTCTCTGGTTCGAAGCGAGGGCAACTTGAACACTCAGACAGTAGATCAAGAGTTCCATTGAGGTCATTTATATTTGGTGTGAAACCAAAAAAGCCAAGGCAATCCATCTTCTCCTGCATGCACCCATCAGCTTACAGAAAGATCAGGACTTCTTAAACTAAATATATTCGTTTTATGCATTGGTTCATATATATATACATATATATATATATATATTTGTTTGTTTGTCAATTTATGCTTTGGAGGATTTTTTGTTTCCTTCGTTCCAGACTGGAGACCCTGTCTGCAACTGTTTCATTATTTTTTTTTTCTGGGTAACTACAGATGTTCATACTACTCTTAGTTTTTTGAAGCAGGAGGACATTTCAAGCCTTGTCAAATTCATATACTTATAGATCCATTTAACATATTCCCCCTGTTGTAATGCGTTTTGAATTCCTAAAAATTTATGTACCAGTAGATAGTTTTTTCATGTAGTGGAGGAGACAAGCAAATCGCTTATTACAAAGTTTTTTTTAGCAGAAATTTCCTATATTGATATTAAGATATATATATATATATATATATGATTTTCTACTTCTGAGAAAAATCAGATCTAAAGTTTCTATAGAGTTGGTAATGTTTACCAAACCGCAAATTTATTTTCTTTTACTTGTTACCCTGATTTACTTGTTTATATCACACAAAACCCTGTAAGCTTTGTTCATTACAGAGTTCTCTAAAGCTTAAATACATTTTTCTCTGTCATGTCCAATATGAGATTTAATTCTATAGTGACAAAAATTTAGTCATTTTTATCACAAAAGAATGACCTCATTTTGAAAACGTACAAAAACACAACTTGTCTTATTATGACCTAAGCCGCCGCCTCAATATAAGATTCAACTTTCACTTAGCCAGTCATATATTGTCAATACAGTCAGAGATATAAACAAGTTCCTTATAAGTAAGATTTTGTTATGTTCAACTTCCAATTCTAATTTTTGTATTAGTCTTATTGCGCGCAATCATGACATAATTTAACTACATTAAAATTATTGCGCCATTTTTTTTTTCTGGTAGAATTCAATTTTTATCTCTCAAAATGAGTATAAGATTCTTACCATCAAGAAATTAACCTGCCATCCACCACCACCATCATAAGAAAAAGACAGCGTAGTAGTTTTAGGCAACTCCTTGTTGCTAAGAGGAGCTCATGTTTTTGTGGCAGACCTTGTTCCTACTGTTATCATTGAACAGATAAGCAACTTATTTTTTTCAGCTTAAAAACACATAAAGGTTGTAAGCTTGCCTGAGCTGTCCTCTCCTGCCCACAATAATCTTTTTTGGGGGTGAAGATAGTCTTTTCCCCAAGCAACTTGAGCCAAGGTTGTATGGTTGTTGACTGACAAAAATATGTGTTGCATAAATGACAGTTCTGGTATGAAAGGGAGTAGTTTTTCGAAATAAAATCATTTTATTTGCATTTAGCCCTTCACAAGAGAATCAATTAAGTTACTCAACAAACTTATAGAATGTTGGTACAAACCAAAAAAGCATTTTTTGTAGTATACAAAGGATTTCAGCTGCTTCATTCATATACCTCTTGCTCTATTTGGAAAAGTAAATAAGCATTTATTTACGATTTGGTTTCTGTACCCCCCATGTATGTTCCCTTTTGCTAGCCAAATGACACCTCTGCTACCACCTTCGCTCCCCTCCCTATGGCCATGTAAAGGCCAAGGTGGTGCATCAGCTCCTGCAATTTGGAAACCAGAAAGGAAAAACAGGAAACAGAGGAGAAGACAAGTTAGCAACGAAGTTTCATGAGCGAATCATTTACGAATTTTCAAACACTCTCATAGAAGAAAACATTTGGAACTTCAAAACTAATATGAACTTGTGGCTAATTCATGAAAACATTTGGAGCTTCAAAACTGATAACAACTTATGGCTATTTCATGTTTCAATTTCAGATATGTCATACTCAAATCCATAATTGGATCTTGCCATTCTAGTACTTGGAAAGCCGCAAAGATTAACAATAACATTACATCTCTATGTATTAAGGATAATATGTACTGGTTTAATGATTTCATTACTATTAATCATGTGTGACCTGCCTGAAATCTCAAATTTTCTGATTGAAGTAATGTTCAAGGATTTCAAATCTCTTGCAGACAGAGACAATTGTTGCCCACAGGACAGCGATTTTTCTGTCCAAAATACTAGCAGTACTTGTCTACTATAACAGGAAGGGGATGATATATTTATAAATTTGGAAAATTTAAGAGCCCTTAACCAAAATATTTTTAAGTACCTGTGGATGGGCCAAAACATCTTTGCTAGCTCTAGCAACATGAACCGGAACATCATATGTAGCGCAAGCACCAGAATGCACGATGATCTCTTCCAAAGGAGTAAGAAAACCGCGGTTTTTGGCAGACATGGCAGAACACACAAAATCTAACACACATATGTCGGTGCATATCCCTACCACCAATATCTACAATACCAAAATTTCAAAAACTTACTAGAATATAGACTTATATGTGCTACTACTAGCTTTCACAGATTTCATTTACATATTTACCAAGAAGATAGAATTTACTTACAACTTTAATCTGATTGTTCTTCACCCAATTTACAAACACATTGGATCCATCTTTCTCAATTGAACCAAGAAACCCATCAATGCAATCCTTGCACCTAAGCGTGGCATTTGGTTCATTCTCCAACCACTCCAGAGCTAACAAATAATATTAAATAAACAAAAGAAAAAACAATTTAATCTATCTGGCTGTCATTCAAGCACAAAATATTCAAAGTTTTTAGCCCGAAACAACGTCAATAACTGATTACCGAGAACCAACTTTGACTCATCTGTCCCAGCAATGCAATGAGGAGGATAAGGGTGCTCGGGAATATCAGGATGATGAGTATCAAGGAAGGCGAATACGGGCCATTTCTTCTCAGAGAATATTCTTGCTAATCTCACTGATTCCTCAACCATTTCAGATATTTGTTTATTAGGCTGTACTGGAGCCTGTGAAATCATGAATTTCCGAACAATTATGAGCAGAATCACAACGATGTGAAAAATATCAGACAGCATTTTAAATTTAACCCGAAGTACCTAACGATAAAATTCGAATATATATACATATACAGATACATTAATACATATATTACGTATTTAACTACAAAAAACTGGGCGTCTGTACGGTGAACCTAGTAGGAAACAGTAATCCTTAGCAAGGAAACTCAACTGACGCAACAACACAGAAACAGACCGTAGAGAATCAGGATAATATATTTACGTAGACATCAATATAAGACAGAAGAATTATATACGTAGCCAGAAAGGATGAGAAATTACCAAGTTTCCAGCACCGACTGTACAGAAGCCATTAACAATGTCAACCAGAACCAGACCAACTTTTACATCTTCACGCAAAACAAGAGATTCATGTCGAACAGGGAGCTCGTTCTTCAGCAAATCAATCGCCGATGTCATCGTCTCCTTTTTTCTTCAGTAAGCTCAAATCGAAAGATAAAAGTTTCGGAAATGAATTTAAAAACAAGAAAATCTAAAGTATTCCAATGAAACAACAAAAGGAAAAAAAAAAAATGCAGAAGAGAACAAAAAGGAAGAAACGAACCTGGTCTAGTAAAAGTGATTTTGGACCGTTGATTTTCCACCGCCTTCCAGGTCGGAGTGCTTAAGACGATTGGTTTATTGTGTGGTTAGTGGTCCGGCGGCCGGAGCGGTTGGAAGGTTCAGAATTTGATTTTTCATGAAACTTATTTTAAAAATGCTTTTAACATAAAACATGGTATTATATTATAAAATTAATAATAAATATTAAGTATATAATTGTTTAACAATATTATTTTTTAAATTCCAATAGTTTTAAAATATTTTCAAGTAGTTACTTTATTTGTTAGAAATACTAATTTATTATTATTTAATTTTAAAATACACATATCTAAATTAGTTAAAATAAAAGCATTTTTTTCTAACATTTGACTTCAATTTTTTTAAAAATACAAAATAATATATTCCTTTGCCTAAACGTTCAATCAAAAACTGTTACTTTCGTAAATTAATCGTCAATTAAAAAATTAACGGGATATAAAATTCTAACGGCCGTTATCGTGGATCGCAAGTGAAAGTCATGGAAAAAAGAATCTAAGCACCTTTCTTGTGATGACGTGTTGACAACTTAAAAATAATTTCTTCTGGTCAAATTTACCGTGGAGAAACTCTGATTAATTAACTGCACTGTAAAAATCCTTTCCAAGGTATATATATATATATATATATATATATATATATATATATATATATATAAAGTAATACTCATTATCACGAAAAAGAAAAACAGTGAAAAAGTCATATAGACAACTAAAAGAGTATAAATATATAATAATTAATATGCAAAGAGTAGCAGTTACTGATGTTCATCAAGATATATATATATGTGTGTGTGTGTGTGTGTGTTCCAAATTTTTCACTGTAATTTTTCTTTTTTACGAGGGCCAATTTCTGTACCAGCCAGCCCATGCAGAGACCAGACCACTAATGCCCAGAGTAACAGAGTGGCAGCAAAATGGATTCGGCTCAATTTCCGCAAGAGCAATAATCAAATCAGCAACGTTAGCTGCGACCGCCATCAACCTCATGATCCTGTCACCTCGTATCTTCCTTATCTTCTCCGTTGATTTGTCCTCAGAAGCTGAAGCCACCAGCTTCCTCTCCATCTCTACCCCCTCTTTGATGAGAATAAAATCAGATACAATGAAGAAAACATAACCAAAAGACTCACCAAAAGCTGAAATAAAGCTCATCTTTTTCGCCAACTTGGGTTCCAAAGTTCCAATTCGGGAGAGCCAGAGTAAGTGGTCAAAAAAGAAGTAGACCATCTCGCCGGCGTTACCGAGAGTGGCTAGGAATCTGAGGATGGGAGTGGAGGGAGAGTTTCTTCGGAGAGTGTTGAAGCCGGTGAGGAACCTGCCTGTTCTGAAGGCTTTTCGGCTGAGCCCGGAAGATACTTCCCAGTGTTTGAATCTTCGAGCAATGTCTGGGTTGGTGGGTTCGGTTTGCCAGTGAACAAGCTTGGAGACGTACTGAAAAGTTTTGACCAGTTTGTCAATCCCATCTCGCTTGGCTAGGAAGATGACCAGTTTGTCGACTGTGTCATCCATTGTTTTTACCGAATGAGAAATTTGTTTGTTGTTGATGGATAGGAGGAGTTCAGTGGTTTACAAGGAGCTAATTGCCATTGATAAACTATAAAGGAGAGCCGCATAAAAAGGGAAAAAGAATGGTTTCTGGATAATTGTTTTGAAGGCGTGCTTGTGGCTGGCTCAATTCAGAGCTCTTTTAACAGCCAGTAGTTTTAATTTTTTATTTATTTATTTTTTTGTTAATTTTCTTTTGAAGAAGACTCATAAATGCTATTATATTATTTTTAAAAATAATAAAAATTTATTAAATAAAATTAGACTAAGATAATAATCTTGTCCTTACATACTATTTATTTTAATTTAAATCGGTCTCTATTGTATTTTTGAATCAAATTAGTACATATATTTTTTAAAAAAATTTGATTTAACCTCCTCCTTAACAGATATGCCTGCAATGAAAGTCATTTAGTTAAAATACAAAACACAATATGCGATCTTTCATGAATGTAACACTTCCTAAATTGATAACTTATCCGACACCGATTAGCTCCCTAGATTTTTTTACAGCTTGATGACTAAACGAATTTCACATTCCTGATGCATAACTTCGGAAAGCAGCCCACCAGATCTGTCTCCGTCACCGATAAGTTTCAGAATAGTCGTACAATTTATCCACCATGTCCCTCACATAGGGCAACTTCTTTGTAGTAATAAAACAGACTACCAGATCACAGAACAAAGTTAGAACCTATTTTCCGGTGACTTGGCGGATAAGTTAGCCAACATTAGCAGCCTTGACTTCTGCAATTATAGAGCTGAAAATCTAGACTGGTGGGTTAGATTGGTAACTTACTCAATACACATGTTGATGTGGACAAACATGTATACGCTCGCAAATTCACACCCACTCAGATCATATTTAGCACAAATGTTAGCAGCGAGATCTTCCTTCATTCTGATTCACCAAGCAGAATGCTAGTTCATAAAACCCACCGGGTATCACCAGATTCCTCCTTGCCTGAGACCAGGAAAACTGGAACAAAATCATTGATTGGCTTATATACATATGAAATATTAAAGCCAGACTGGATGGCGAGTCAATTACCTTCACATCACCTCACTATCAACTAGCATGTAAGGAAGTACAGAATAGAAAATCCACAAAGACTAAGTGATGCAGGAAAATTACCCGGAAAAATCAGAAAATTTATATTAGGAAAGAACTATAGGATTGGATGAGCTCATTATGAGAAATTTCAGTTGCTCTTCTTGCCATCCTTTGGAAGTTGCACGCCCATAAGCCCAAGTAAATTTGAAGTAGGGCCAGGTAGTCCTTGCTGGGAAGAAAAGGAATCAAGTAGGCCCTTTACAAGATTAAAATCCACATCCACTGGAGTAAAATCTTCATCCATGGCACTAGATGCTCCCTACACCATTAAATTAATCTCTTCATTAGATATACCAATTAATTATACTTCCTGGAAGTAGCGTTCCAGAGGTAAATTAGATACATGGGAAAATTTTTTTTGAGAAAAAAATTAGTTACATGGGAATAAAGCAGACACAAATTACAAATAGACAATCCGGTTAATTCCAACTCCCAGTAAAAGTTATTAATGCATGTCTTTTTGGTAAGCAGGCAATCTGACCAAAATGCTTTGACAACTCCGAAAACTAGCCTAAGCAAGTAGCATTAATGACTCTCCAAATGCAAAATAAGTGTATGTCCTCTATCTTCCTCACAATTGTCTTCGCTGCTCACAACCATTCAAACAATTAGAAAGAGACAACAGTAGGTTGCAGTACCTCTACCATCAAACAAATAATAATATATATTCCAACATTAATCAATAATATTAATATAATTATATTAAAATTTAAATCACGTTATGAAATATGACTGCATAATATTAACAAGCCTTAATATTACCAATTAAAAAAATAACAAGTACCAATGGTAATCATTTAAATCTAGCTATTAACAACCCACGAAGAGAGAATAACTAAACTTTTTTTCTTAAACTTTTAATATTAGATAACAACTAAATTAAGTTAACAGATTATAATTATAATACTCAAAAATAAATTTAACATTTTATTAGTTAACTATATAACAATTTTTAGTTTATTACATATTTTTAGTTGTTTAATATCAATAGAGAAATATTAATTTAAAATAAAGTAAATTGTTAAAAGATATAATAATAATATATAAAACGATTGTATTCTAGGTACTTTGAAAAATGCGCGAATGTATATGTGACAAAAAAGATGTGCTAAATGTATAATTTCCTGCAACAAAAGTGGTGTAACTGTATATTCTCAAAAAATATAAGAAGTAACTGTAAATATATATCAAACAACAAGGTAATTTTTGTAATATTTGAGTATCTCCATATGCATGCTAGAATAAACATACCAAATTTTCCTTGGAAGATTGTTCACTTGCACGCAGAAAACTTTTCTTAAGGGTGGTGTTCTTCAGTTCTTCATTCATTACATCAGAATAAGAGTGCATGAAGACATCCTCCGCATCATCATTATCCTCAGAAGTATCTCCCAAATCACTCTCGTCCTCAGAATCATCTGCAGATATCATAAATCATATATAATCATTGGAAACATATAATTTAAAGCAAAGCAACAGAATTTTAATTTACAAACAGACTCGCAGCACTTGGCCAAAGCAAAAGTCAGTAGCATGGTTACATGTGCAAAACAAACATAAAAAGGAGGCAACTTCATTTAGGGCCTGCTTGACCCAGCTGGGGTCTTTTCTACAGCACTGTAAAAGTGACTCTCAAGAAAAACAGTTTTTTCACTTAAAAACACCATAGTGTTAAATAAAAATTGCTGTAAGAAATGTTTTTAATGTATAATGTGATATTATGTAAAGACCTACATAGAAAAACTTCAACAGATTGATACCATGTCTTTTCGGGTTCTTCATGATCAGTAACTATGGTTTACACTATGTGCCCATTACCCTTTTACCCCTTCTTCTGTAGTATACCACCAGAGGCTTCAGTGGCTTCTTGACAGTTAACTACTAGTACCCAACAAACTACATTAGAGGCAGAATTTCAAATACATAAAGCAGTACTAAGTGTCTGCCACCCTGGAGCAACAAATAACTCATGTATCAGTCATATGGTCATCACTACCATCTCATTGGCAGCCAATCTAAAAGTTAACGATAAAGAGCATGATTCCTCAAATTTGAGAGAGAGAGAGAAAGAGACCTTTTACATGTTTGGACTCAGATTTAACTTGTGCGACACAACAAACTAATCTTATACATACTGTCTAGTATTTAGCAAAATTCTACATCTTAATGTGTACATGCAACACAGAACTCACCAAAATCCATTTCTGAAGACAATCCTTCTTCGCCATGGGCAACAGCTGTGTCTTGGTGACCATGTTGCTTCATTATGGATTCCATGTCCTTCATGAAACGGTCCACATCAAGATCAACCTCTTCAAGATTCCTTCAAAAAGATGAAACAGGATATGTAAAATTCTGATTTCAGTCAGTCATTCCATGGGCCGCTATTCTTTTTTAAAGTATGAATAGTATATTAACAAGGTATTAAAAGGGGATACCACTCATGTACAAAAGGTTTTCAAGTGTGTTAAAGTGTCTATGACAATCCCAAATTCCACATCTCTAATAATGTCATGACCCAACAAAACAAAACAAAAATAGTGAAATCATTTGTCCCTTAACCTATACAGGTCAGTTTCTTTACCCTCAAACGCTCTACAATTTCTTTCCTTCCAAATAATCCAAAAAACAGTCAGTGGAATCATCTTTACAGTGTTTCTTTTCCTATCTAGCCCTTCCCATGCCCACACCTTTTCTATGACAGATCCTGCAATTATCCAGTAGATCTCCAGCAAGCCATAAATCATGGTCCATAACCCATACGCCACAGGACACCACAACAGCATGCGTTTACAAGTTTCCTAAGCATTCATGCATAAAAAACATCCCATGGCTGCTATTAAATAAGCATCAAATATGAGTTGGTAAAAAAAAGTAATTACATAGACTGATAGCTTTGATCAGAGATCCTCTAGAAGGACTATCAAAATTCAATAGCTAAAAACAAAACAAGCTATCTTGTGAAAATTAGACATCTGAAACCAAATCAATTATCTATCCTCTAGAAGAAATTACATAGACTGATAGCTTTGATCAGAGATCCTCTAGAAGGACTATCAAAATTCAATAGCTAAAAACAAAACAAGCTATATGGTGAAAATTAGACATCTGAAACCAAATCAATTATCTATCCTGCAAAAGCTTCGCTAAATTTCTAATTGCCACAAGCTCACAACTATATTGTCAAACGGAAGTTCACATAGACTGAAGCACCAATTCAACATAGACTGAATTACCTGAACACAAGAATGGGGGAAGGGGGGGTGCATCGGAAGGGGAGAGGAAGAAGTAGCTCGGGTGCAGCAAAAACTAGTAATGGCTTACAGTTCACAATAAGCTAACATTAGCCTCAGCTTGGTGCATGCTATTCATCAGACTATTATCTGCCACAGATTCCCACTTAGAAGATAGACAAAGCATTTAAAACAGGAACCATTGAACTTAAATCCTAATGCCCCGAGATATAAAGAGCTTTTGTTCCACTTGATTAATTAAATCCCACCTACAAACAGTTTAAGCCTATGCAAATATTGCTCTCTCCCCTTCAAATAAAGAGGCTATGCTCCCTTCATAAACAACATTATCTCATATATGCTTACTTCTGCATTCTATAACGACACATTAAATATGTGGCTAAAAGTTTAACAATAAATGGAATATAATAGAATGTGCTAACCTATCCTCTGGCACCTCAGCTCCCTTGTAGCTTGACACCTTCTGGACAAACTGCTGCATGGATTTTGCTATTTCTCCAAGGTCAAAATCATTGATGTTTGTGTGGGATGAAGTACCAGCATCTTGTGGCTCTTTTGACTTCTGTTTCTTTTTAAGTTTTGCATTATAAAGTTCCATCTCCTTCTGCCGCTCTTGGAGAGCAGAGTTCAACTCATCTTCCCCATTGTAGAGCCAAGAGTCATCATCAGAGGGCGGAACTTCCAAACCCTTAAAATCATCAACTGAATGTGGCAAAGCAAGAATCTCATCGATCCGCTTCACTGGAGCACTCATCATCTCACTACAACAATGTCCGCCACCTCAATAATACTTAAAAACAGGGATAAAATGAAGGAAATTACAGAATATATTCATATAATTCCAAAGACTATAACCAAAACAAATACCTGGTTCTCGAAAATAATGAACTGTTCCTGTAATACTCTTCGGCATTCTCCATCAACCTCTTGTACTCCTTAGATCCCGGAATCAACCCTTCAAAGTACCCACTCCTCTCCAAGCTCTCCTTGTACTTTCTCCAGGTGCTCCCCTTCCCTTCAACCCCCTCCTTCTTCCTCTGCTGGTAAATCATCTCCAACCCGCAAGCAATCTTCATCCCTAATTCGGCCTCCATATATGCCTCTGCATCACTCCTATTCGGCATACGATAGCACTTGGGCGCCTGAAACGTCTGCTGCACCAGCTGCGCATACATCGCTCTCGACATCCTTACGGTCACGCGCACCAAGTTCTCGCGTTTTCCTTCACTTAAAAACCTCTCCATCCTCGCCGCGAATCTCATCGAATCAATGTCTCTGTCGTAGAAACCCTCCACCGCGAGGGAGATAAAACAGGGCTCGTGCCTCAACACCAACGCCACTGACACCGGAACCCTAACCCTAACGGAATGCATGTTCCTCGAGGCTCTCTCCGGGTACTCCGAGATACGATTCTTCACCGCGGCCTGCACAGGGTCAGAGGCGCGGCATTTGTCGGCATGCTCAACGAGGAATAGTAGGGAATCGACGAGGGTAGGCTCCGGGAGAAGATGCCTGGGAATTATATGGAGGTCACCACCACGAATGAAGACGCGGTTACGGCTGTTATCAGGGTTTACCCAACGAGGGAGGTGGAAAGCGGACTCTATGAGTAGAAACTCACCGTCTCCGTCCCAGACGCGGATGGAGAGGGAAGGGAAGGCGTTGGAGACGTGAAAGAGAAGGAAGACAGTGAACCATTCGTCCTCGAGGTTGTCACCGAAGCTCAGCTTCCCGTGAAGGTGCGGGAGAGGAGAAGAAGAAGAGGAGCAGCATACGCAAGAGGAAAAGGAAATGGAGAGGGAGAAAGGTTCGTGTTGCCAGATGTATGAGGAGGTGAAAGGGGAGATAGAGTTGAGGATTCCGAGGTGGAGGGTTTGGAGGGAAGAGGAAATATCGGTTGTGATGGTGGAAGAAGTGGAAAGTGAGGAATCGGGGAAGATGGAGAAGAAAACAGTATCTTCTGGGATACGAGAGTTGCCGGAGAAAATGGAAGACGACGGACCAGTCTCTGATGAAAGCGGTTGCGTCGCCATGATCGCTGGAGGGAATGAAGCTTGGCTTTGCTTGCTCGCTGTTACTGGTGAGCCATTGAAGGTCTTTTTGACTCGTAACTCGTGAATTTTCGCGAGTTAACGAATTCATTCTGGAATCTCGACCTTCCGGTTCTGGTGGGGAAACGTCTGGAACTGGATCCAGGCCTCTTCACTTTGGGCCGTGGGCTGTAACTGTCAACGGGAATCCTGTAGCCCAGTCCGATTAAGCACAAGTTTAAATCAAGAAGTGATGGGAACGACCGAACCGGTGAATGCATAAGATTCTATCGATAATGAATCCTAATAATTCATTGGATACCCGAACAAATCATAAACTAATTTATCTATTCTTATTCTAATTTTGAAAGGTCATGGGTAGCCCTAAAATCGAAATAGATATTCAAAAAATAAATATTCGTAAAAAATTTATATTTATTGAATTGATCGGACTATAAGTGGTGTTTCCAGTGACGGATAAATGAGTAAAGTGTAAGAACTTGCAATTGAGAGGGGAACAATAGTTGAAAACGGCTATTAATACCTCGTAAGCTATGGAGCAAAATGAGAAATTCGCTCGAGAAGGGACTCATGTCTGATTAGCTAGTTAGCGAGGCAATAGCTTACTAAGGCACGGCTCGGAATGGTTTGAGATTAATTTAAAAAGTATGCTTAAAATTTTTAAGTATGTAAATCTATATTTAAGGAAAAGAGTATTGCATTTGAATAAAGTGTTAATTATAAAATAATTATTTTTATAAAAAATTAAAATTTATTATTATTATAAATATTAGATTTTTATCATAAAATATAAAATTATATAATTATAATATATAATATAAATATTATTTTATGTAAATAAAATTATACATAAATAAATTCTACTAAAAATATTAAAAAATTTACAAAATAATAAAATGTGATTGAAAAATATGTGATCGATAACTTATATATTGTATAATTTTAGAATTTGTAATTAACTAGAAAAAAATTACATAAAATATAATCATACTTAAATTTTATTTTTATATTTAAAATAAAACTTTTATATATTACTATATTAAATTATTGGATTAAACTAATAAATAACTACACCATATTAAATAAATAGATAGCTATAAGATATATTTTCAAATTATTTTTATTTTAATATATCTAAAATTATATTTGGATTATAAAGCTAAAAAATAAGTCGTATATTTATGATCATATTAAATATAAAATTATTTTTTAAAAAGAATATACACATGTTAATTTTTTATGTTCATTTTATATATACTAATTTATTTATTTTTACTTATTTATCTCTGATTATATTATTGTAACAAAGATTTGAAATATGTAAAAAATACTAATTGTATTTTTGTATAATTCCAAAATAAATGGAGTATAATTAAATTTACTCATGCTTTTATAGTTTTATCTTCAACTATATAATGAATAATTAATATACCGGAGTTCAATGTTTTCGACCGTCCAAATTAAATCATCCAAACTCCAATTATTGAGCGGCAAAATCCCCAAAAAGCCCTTCCGTCCTCAACCCACGTTCTTCTTCTCGCAGCAAGGCACATAAACCCGACCGTCGATGCCAGAGCTCAACCATTTCTTTACAGAGTCAAGATGTGTAACGGTCACCATAGATCCCTGTCACCGAGCCACCGACTAAGCCCCTCGCGGAACCGGCGTTCGGCAAACGACAACGTATTGGTGGTCGAAGATCTGCGAGGCCGGCTCGCCGAGACCGAGGCTCGGCTCGAGCGCGCCAGGGCCCGTGAAGCGGAGCTCAGCCGACGACTTGAGGAGATGAAGCGATTCGTCTCCGTTATGGAGATCCTCGAGACCTATCTCAAGCGCCGGTTCCGCGAGCAGCGAGAAAGCGTGGCTTCCCTCTTTTCTTCCTTTCCAGCAAAGTAGGAATTCCTGGCCGGTGATTTTAACCGACACACTTGTCTATACAGTCCCCTCTTCTTCTTCTTTTTTTATTTTTTTTTGCTATTCTTACCTGTGTGAAGCTAAATGGTTCCTGTTCCTTGTTTATCTTTGATAGTGTTTACAAGAATCATAAAAGAATGTTAAGCAAACGCTGTAATTCATGTTTTAGAAAATTGCTTTTGATGATTCTCAGGGCAGTTTCGAGATTAATTTTATTTTCTTTTTTCAAAATTCAGTATCTCCTCATTTATCGAGGTATGCCAATACCAAAAATCTCTATCGATTGATCTCCTGGGCAGCTTGTCTATCTTCTGCAGAGGCATAGGTTATGTGGGAAAATTCCTAATATGTGTTGTCATATATATTCTATACGTCAGTCCAAGATCTTGTTTGGTGTAATTTTCTCAGTTTCATATATAAAAGAAGTACTTAACGTTGGTACTTCTTGTAACTGATTTGTGGAATTCCAGAAGGGAAATCTTGTAGATTTATGCTAGACAGAGGGTTTACTTTTTCAGAGTGATTCTCGAGTAAATCTTTGGCTTCCATGCTTGTTTTCTTATGTTTATATGATGATGCTGTTGGTAGTGATGATAGTAGGAGAGGTGATTAGAACATTGCATTCTAATAGAAATGGTATTTACTTATACGGATGGCTGTTGACCAAGAGTAGCGTCGCGTATAAAGAGAAATTGGGTTTTAGTTATGTGAGAGATTGTCAGAAGATGAGCAAGCATACTGTATTCGTCTTGTTGCATCTAGAAGGTAAATTCTGTTAAATTGAACTTCATCTATAATATGCATGAGGAAATTGCAGTTGCTCTATCTTGAAGATTACAGCAAGTGGTTAGTGGGTTTTCAATTTCTGATTTCTTGGCTGAACATGACAGGCCCCATTGTCCTTCTGGAGCTACTTGTTGGGTTTGTTTGATTATGTGCTTTAAGGAGCTCAGGGTTCTTTACACAAATATGAAGAAAGTGGATTCAAAACTCATCAGTGTTCCATCTTCTGGACAATCTTGATTGAGTTTATAACAAGGAGGATGGAATTTGGATTGAAATTGAGGAACTCTGTTGCGTAATTCCTATTACACATAACCCACATGGAACTATAGACATTGGTGTTGACAAATTTAAACATTTCGGATTTGTTGAGCATAGACACCTGTTGCAAACTTGCTGAGTTTTATGGTCATGTCATTTTCCAGTGATCCTGGATGATTAGGATTAGTATTTGTGCGACTATACAGCGATTGTTGTCTTAACTACTCAGCTAAAATAGCTAGATGCTTTCTGATATGGAAAATTTAAACTCTCTTGGAAGTAAAAAGCTGACATCTGGACTCTAGTGATGTGAGGCCAATGCAATTCTCTTTTATCTTGGTTATACATTGCCTCCCCTAAGAGTCAAACTGGGATTTGAGGATCACTCGGTTGTGAGGTTCTAATTTATATTGATATGAAAATCCAAAGTTGTCTTCTGAAGATCAAGAAATCTTTTTTAACTTACTCAAGGATAAGTTCTTTACTAATGCACTTGGTTGGCATATAGTAATCCATTTTCAGCTAGCAAAACTCTCCTCTCCTCTCGTCTCCTCGACCCTCCATCTCTACCATTACCAGTGCTGTGAAGATGTTGCTCTGGTCATCGATAAATATATCCATCTATTTTTGATGATGATGATGCTGAACATGGCCAATACTGATGCAAATTTTATACAAATCCGAGTTGCAGTAACACTGTAAAGGTGAATGGCCAATGATCTTGATTGCAAATGCCAGGTGAATGGACTGATGTTTTCTTGTGGCATGATCAGCTCCAGTTATTGCATATGTTTGTGATTTCTCCTGAAAGATTATGCTAGAATTGCATATAGTATTTGTTGTCTCTTGCAGAACATCGGGTCTGTTTTCTTCACAAACATATAGTAATAGACTGAGGAGTGAAAAGAGGGAAACTTGGTGGTTCACAGAGTTGGCTGGAAATTTGACCTGATTTCTTCAGCAAGTAACATGATGCAAATTTTGTGCAGCCATCAAGCTGTGCTGCATATCTATCAATAAATACTGTTTTTTTCTCTCTGACTCGAGAATGTGACACCATCTTGTAGTTCTTCGTATCTGCCGAACTGATAGCTGTCCGCACTTTGATATTAGGTTTACTTTGTTCTCGTTAAAATTAAATATAAATCTGTACCGAAGAGAATGCAGGGGACATATCATGCATGGATTATGTCACGAGATAGGGCAGACATCTAGAAGTTGCTTTTTTCGCAGGTTAAATCAATTAATAGTATTTTCTTTAACTTGAAAGAATTTCT